TGTGTGTGTGTGTGTGTGTATGTGTGTGTGTGTGTGTTATAATGACATACGTCATATTATGTGTGTATATTGATGTTTATGGGACTGGCCACGGCCGCGATCTAATTGTGTATACCCAAAGAAATTGTGTGACTTTCAGTGGTTGTGAATATGAGTGTGTTTCTTCATATGTGTACGAGTCGACGTAAGTAAATTCGGGGTCAGTTGACATAGTAAACTATTTTTTCTTCTCAGGGAAAGCCCTGGACTTCAATTTTGGCGCTGTCGGCAAAGGTGTGGGGAACCCCTCTTTTGGGAATACTCCTTCGCAAGGACAGACCAACATCATGACGGGAGGCGGTGACAACAAGTCTAACTCCAGCTCCGCTACCAACAAGGCTGGAGGATTCTCGTCTAATACCGGAACAGGAAACCTCTTTGATAAGAACCTCTTCGGAAGACCGGGGCTCAACAACAATGTGTTTACGAATAACAATCTATTTAACAACAACAATAATAATAATAACAACAATAATCTGCTGAATAATAATGTGAACTCGAATTTGAACAACAATAAGCAGAACATATTCCAGTTCAAAAATCCCTACAACAACAACAACAACAACAACAACAACAACAACAACAACAACAACAACAACAACAACAACAACAACAAGGACGACAATACAAGCACTAAACTACCCCAGCAGGGAGGTCTTTTCGGAAGTCCTTTCAACACGCCCGGAAATGGAATAGCCACAGACGGAAATAATCCTTTCGGGTCCAGTCAGGGAGGCGGATCCCTCGGTTCTCAACCCAGCCCTTTCCGGTTCCGGTCTTTGAACAACAACAAGTTCGGTAACCCTCCCATCAGCTCGAACCAGTTTGGTAATTTGCCGCCTATTGTGGACAAAAATAACAATTTCAAGCCAGGTTTTGGTGGTCTGACCGCCACCAGTCCCACCAGCCCTCCTCTTGACAGCAACGCATTTGACAGAAAAGACGATCGAAGTAATCAAGAGCAGAATCCGGGTTCTTATGGGAACTCCCTACCGAGTAAAGAGCCCGTATCACTGGGCGATGGTGTGATCAATCTCGGGAGCCCTGGGCCAACCCCGACGCTCACAAAGAAGAATATTGATAGTTCTCCACAACCCAAGAGCGTAGAATCTTTTATTCCTAGTGCTGGAGACGACAACATTGCACGTCCTTCTCGTTATTCTCCCCCAGAACCTGACTACTCAAACCCAGGACCCAGGCAAGCAGGTGGTGTGAACGCTGACCCCTCCAAAACATCGCTGCCAGTGAGCGCCGTTATAACAAATTATCCCTTGGATCAAGGCGGAGAAAATGGCCCAGAGCAGACCAACACCGCCACAGATTTCGAAAGAAACAAATCGCCTACCTCTGATTTCACCGGCCCACCACCCCAAGCACGTTCTCCACCCTCTTACCTACAAGGAGGACAAGCCACACCTTACAGACCGAGCCAGTCAGAGGTGCCGAGTTCAACACCCACCGTGTCCAGAACTAGACCAGAGGCTGGTGACTTAGACTATAGGATTCCAACAAACCAAGGGCAGCCGCCTGGTATAGATGACCTTCCTTACGGCAGAGGAAGTAGCCAAGGGGGTGACCGTCTGAAAGAACCTTTAGGACCAGGAGGCGTCAATGGAGGGGGCAACAATGCCTACAGCGATGGAAATGACAAACGTAACATATACAGCCCAGATGCTGGAAGTCGAAACGATCAAAGAAACAACGACAATCGTTACAACGACAACCGTTACAACGACAACAACAACAACCCGCCAAGTAGCAGTTTCACATCACCCAGAGACAACAAGGGAAGCGACAGACAAGAAGCTAGCTCTGACATCCGTTCAGCTTTCGGCCAAAATGGTCTGAAGAACAAAGGTGTGTCCCCGCCAGAGGGGCTGGACGGGAGTAGGCTGGACGGAAAGGACAGCATTGGAAGGAGTCCGGGGTTTGTGGGCACGTCTCTTTTGACTGATGGCGACTACCTGGACCGAGCTGAGAAAGAGAGGTGAGTCATTATTTGAACACGCTGCTGTTACTTTATCAAACACAGAGGAAGACGGGACAACAGTCTTTTGTTAGTTTTAGTAAGTGTTTTACTGCTCTTGCAACACAATAAGGTCATATAAGTGCTGAAGATTAGAGGTGTTACAAGAGAGTAACAAACATAAAAAAGAAGGAGGAGAGATAAGGACGATAGATGTTTGATAGGAAGAAGAAGCAAACCACACCAGAGCACCCGCCAACCACACACCAACAGTCTTTAAGTGACAAAAACTGAGTTAATAGTCCCGTAAAACACCTACCCAAACAATTAAAGGGTATGTAAGAAGGTTAAACATATCAACAGCAAATAAAAAATGAGGGAGAATAGATATTAACAAGGAGTGGAGTGAATAAATAATTTGTGAGACTAGCCGATGCTGTTCTGATCAGATTATATTAAATACTACTAACATTTGTTTCTGGCCAACTCATTCACGATCACGATATTCATTGGTCGATTTTAGGCTGCGGGTTTTCTTATGAATTTATTGATTTCGAGCAGTGTTACCAGAGCATTAAAGCGTCAAGTGCCTTGGTTCATCTCTCAGTTAGTCAATAAATTGAGCAGGCCTATAACTGTGCCCGACGCCATCCTCATTGTTGTTAGATTTTACAGGGACAAATAAAACAAATCACCTTTTTTGAACTTGTCAGCCTGATGGGCTTCATCCAGGGTCTTCTTGGTGATCACAGGAGGGGTAAAGGATGTGTTTGGGGGATTTGGGGGGGGGGGGGTGTAGCAGTTATGTCTTACAGGAAAAGAAAGCAGCGCGATGTCTTCTTGGTGATGTTTGGATTCCCATTGCCAATGATTTATCACTTTTTAAAACCCGTCTCTTTAGTATCAGCTTGTGAGTATTTGAGTTGCTGAAGCGGGTTCATAGATATCTCATTAATTCTTCTTCCTCCTCATGCCTCTTTAACTTTAATAATTAATTCTTCTGCTTATTTCACGCACTATTTGAGCATCAGTGTCTTTTTTTTGGCAAGTGTTTTACGGCGCTCACAGTCGCGTAAGGTCATATGAGCGCGCAGGACACATAAATCATTTTCAGCAGGAAGGAAATTTTGAATTTTGACCGGGTAGCGGCCGAAACCTACTCTTATTGATTTTGGACCACCAGGGGATCTTTAACGTGCGTAACTTGCAGACGGTGCCTCCGAGATTTTTCGCCCTTGTCCGAGAAGGCTAGGTGTAGATCTTCCCCAGCAGAAGATCAGAGGTGTGGCTGAAAGACAGCAGTAAGAATTAGCCAGGGAGTAGCAATAGAAAGGCTGCAGAAAGAGCCAGGAGCCGAGAGGAGGGGGAAAAGGAGGTAAGGGGGTGGGGGCAGAAAGTTGAGGCGAAAGCAGACGACAGAACATTGCTAGAGAACAGGGAAGTAAGTGAAAGGAGATTAATTTAGAGAAGAAACGTTTCCGTTGCTATCCGGATTCGAACCCGGGACCTATTGAATGAGAGGAGAACACGTTAACCTTTAGATCTAGGCCACGAAAGCCCCCAGTGTCTTCTTTGATAGACTTCGATTTCGCCAATATTGAAATGTACAATGAACTGCTAACGCTCACCTGGAAACAGTTTTTGCTTTTCTCGAGTACCAAAAGCTGGGACATGGTTTGTGAAAGAAAAGACCGGCATTTATACCAGAACAAATTGGAGGATGAAAACGGATCCATCGATGTCCATGTTGACCTGTAATTTTGCTAGCGAGGTTTTGGAGTCTTTTTGCAACTTTGAAGCAATACTTACAGCTACTACCAAAGATAGTACATAACAAGACTGTTCACTTCTCTCTTTGAGACAATGAAAAAAGTGTCCTCAAAATCCGGTGGCACCCTCTTCGAAAAAGTGCGGACTTTGCGAAAAGAGTTACCCTACTTGTGTGAAAATAATAAAAGCGAGACAAACGAACTGTGCTATTCCTATTCTTCTTCTGGAGAAACGAAAGAGAGCTTCAAAACAAAAACTGCAGTGCCATCTGAACTCCCGCGGACACTTTTTGGGCTGAGTGAACTTTCTTGTTATGAACGATCTTTGCTATTACTCCATAATGTATACTCTGTATTATGGAGGGTTCCATTGCAAAAGGCATCTTACGTCAAAAGTGGGCATTTCTAAAAAAGCCCATTCACTCCATAATCTTATGATACGAATTGTAGTGAGAAATTTTTTTTCTCTCAAAATGCTTCTGATCCCTCGATATTAATATTTTATTATGATAAATAGCGTTTCGTTCAAACTTTTGCTTTAAGAGAATACTTTAAACTTATTTTTTATAAAGAAATAGAGCTTTTCTCGGGTTTGTATTTATTGGTTACAAAGCGTTTTGTCGCGGCGCGCAATATTGCTGTGATGACTTTTCCTTATGATTATGTAGTCTCTCTTTTTTACTAGAAGCATCATCATAAAAAAAAAAAAAGATTTTACCTTATGGTTTTTTAAAGTAATTTTTTGTTGGCTAACAAAACTGGCCCAGATAATAAAACAGGACAAAATTGACCTTTTAGTGAGGACAGTTGATTTGTTATGAACCGGAGTTGGACGAAGGAGATCAACAATCTCTGATCGTTTATTTTTGGTTTCGCAGTTTAGAAATTGTAAACCCAGCCTTTGTTTTCGTGCTCTCTCCCAACCTGCCACCATCCCCCTCCATTTCTCACCCCACCCAGGTGTAAAAGGGGTAGATCTACCAAGGTTTTGTGAATGTAGGTGGTTCCCACGTAACAGGCTGCAGCACCAGTAAGAGATGACGGCTCCAGACGGCTCCAGACGGCTTCGCACGGCAATTAGTAGGACCTGTATTTTTCTCAGACCAGCAGGCTGACCTTGGCGGGCAGGATCGAAATAGCAGCCTGCCTCCAGCATTACCTAAAATTGCATCGACTGGGCGCAAAATATTCATAGTCCATCAAGAATCACCAGTTTTAAATCTTGCCTTGTTCTCTTTTTAAACGAGTATTCAGTTCAACAGATGAGAAAGTTTTATTTAAGTCGCTAAAGATGGGCATTGGCAAAGAAACCCTGCTTGTTACAAATGGAAATTATAATATAGGCTTTGCACTCGAAAGGTACACTCAGTTGAAAAAATAAAATGTCTTTTTTTTCTAAAACTGATCATTCGTTCACACCTCCCCAAAAGTTTACTTGTTGTCTAACCCCATTCCCCATCCCATGTCTCTGTTTTTTAAAATACTTTTTACACAGCATAATGTACTTATTCCTTCTAGGGATAAGGGCGCTAAAGTTCCAGAAGAATTCGAAAAACCCTTCAAGGCACAGAACAACTTGTTCCCAGGCTTCGACAAATTTGCCAATGGCGACGGTCTCTCCAACTTCGGCACCAAAAACTCCGTCTTTAATCTTTTCGGTAAGAAGAAAGGCTCCCCTCCTGGATTTCAGAACGGAAATTTCAATTTCAACAATCCAGATTTTCTGAAGCCAGATTCCTACACCGGGGAGGGAAATGGTGAGGGTTCAACAACAAATGCACCCTCAAGTGTGGACGGAGACAAGCAACAAAGCCAGGCGACCCCTAGACCAACGTCCTCCCCCGGGACAAATTCTATCTTCCAGTCCCCCAACAATGCACTTTCCCTGTTGAATAACCCACAAGGGCCTCTAAACAGCCAGCATAGCCCCTCAGGACCAGGCCACCCCGGAGGTAACAATTTTAACAACAATAACAATTACAACAACAACAATAACAGCCCATACAGTACAAATCGTCCTGTTTCTAACTACAACCCAGCCCGAGCACCGAACTCTTACCCCGCGACGACGCGTTATCCCAACCAACAACCAATATACAACAACCCTCAAGGTCCCCCCGGGCCCTACGGGAACGCGCCTCCACCCAGACCCTTCGGAAGTGCCCCGCCTCCCTACGGAAATAACAGACCCCCGGCTTACGGTAACGCTCCGACTCCTGGTTATGGAAACGTCGGGCCTAACCAACCTTACAACAGCGCAGGGGGGCCGTACCCAGCAGGCAGAAGCCCCCCGTATCCTCAAAACCGACCAGGTAACTTCGGAGGCGCTCCCAACAACGGGGGCAACAACCCCCAGTCTTTCGCACCTGGTCAGGGCTATGGCAACCCCCGGGGCCCCGCCCCACCTGTCTACAATAACTTTAACAATGGGCCAGGTCAATATAGAGGGCCACAAGGTGGATACAACAACAACCCAGGGCCTGGCTTGCCTCCACAGAGAGGTCCAAACCCGTACCAATCAGGCGGCAACCCCAACCCCAACCCGTCTTACACGTTCGGTGGCCCAAACCAACAGCCAAACCAAGGCTACGGCCCTCGCCCTGCGAACACGAACGGATTCCGTGGACCTCCTAACAACGTCGTGATTGGTCCGAGCAATGCCGGAAACCCGGGTCCCTTTCGTGGAAATCCAGCCTCTGGCAACAGAGGGCTTGGTCCTTACCCAGGTTCCCAGACCCCAGGCGGTCCTGGTTTGAACCCTTATGGGCCAAGAGGCGGCCCTAACGGTCAAAATCAAGGGCCACCGCCAAGGTACGGTCAAGGGAATGCCCCTAGAGGTGGACCTACTTATAACCCTGGGCCAGTCAGGAATCAAGGAGCACCGTCGTCTAGTGGGGCAGGAAGGTCAGCATTATTTTCTGCCTTGTTTTTATACCCAGTCAATACACTCTACATTCTCTTCTTCTTCTTCTTTTTCTTCTTTTTCTTCTTCTTCTTCTTCTTCTTCTTCTTCTTCTTCTTCTTCTTCTTCTTCTTCTTCTTCTTCT